GCTTCCCCCAAATTTCTTTTTGTTGTCTATATCTACGCCGGGATCCTGAGTTGTGGCTGATCCTGTTGCTGTGGTCCTGTGTCCTGGATCCTCTATCCTGAGTTCTGGATTTGAGTCCTGGACTTCGAGTTGTGGCTGAACCTGTCTCTGCGGTCCTGCCTGACTCATCATACTACTTCCCTGATGGCTCCCACAGGATTGGTGACATCCTCGTGGATTCATCTTCTTATTATACACACATGCATTTCCAAACATTTGGACTACCTATGTTGCAAATGTATTATCTTTTCAATTTACACACGGCATCTATTGCACGTCTGTCCGTCCTGGGAGAGGGATGCCTCCTCTGTTGCTCTCCCTGAGGTTTCTCCCATTTTCCCTTTAAACTGTGGGTTTTCTCTGGAAGTTTTTCCTTGTACGATGTGAGGGTCTAAGGACAGAGGGTGTCGTACTGATACTCTGTACACACTGTGAAGTCCACTGAGACAAATGGACGTACTTTCAAGGCCAGAATCAACTTCTATGTGCCCTCTGAGACACAATGCATCATTCCCTAAGGCCTTGAGTCATTAGATCATTAAGGATCTTTTCATGCCCATAAACTTCTGTAAAGAAAAAGTGTCACCGCCAAGGTCGCGTTATATACATCCTCATGTATTATTCGCGAAACAAATTCAGACTCTTGAAAATAAACATGCATACATCACCACGGAACGAGGATTAACATAATGCTAAAAAACAGAAGAAAATAAACAATGCATTTTAAATGCAACTGCCTTGATCATTGTTGTTCTAGTCATATGGTGAATTTGACAGAATTGTCAATTTTGGTGAATCATCACTAATATTTCCTTTCATGATTTCATTATGTAAAGCTCTTGAGGGACGCCGAAGAAACTGCTTTTTAGCCTTATGTGTTAAACGTTCATGAGAAACTCCCTTTGGCATGGGCATTGGGATCTTAGCTTTTGCAGATAATTTACATGCACAAAAGCCTGAATAACAAACTGGAGGAAAGGGACAACCCCAAAAAAGCATTAAGAGGCTCCTTTATTAACACAGTGTTATCATGTTGAAAACATTTCCAGGCAGTTCATCTATTAATAGTTAGGAGAATGTAAGCAATATAATATGATAATTTGTTCTGTTTTGCCATTCAACCTGTGCCCCTCTTTCAGCAGCTGATAATAGCCTTGCTCCATTACAAGGCCTTTCAAGACAGTCACATTAAAGGGACACAACTTTTAGTCAGGGTGACATGATAATGATCTACTACAGCGGCTGACAGCGCTGTTAGGTCATAACTCCAATGGTAGGCAGTTGTCCAGTCTTTTCTCAAGGCTTCCACACTCAATATAAAAGATAGAAAGAAAGAGAAAGTGTTTCACAAGACAAAAGTTATAATCCGATTTGGATCATACCGTGGCACTTAAGCTCTTACAGAAGTGGCTGTGGATGCCTTTCATAAAACGAATATCACATTAGGGCTTTGGGGAAATGACGGGTGGGATTTCCCAATACAATTAGAATGTATCAATGAAACTTTAGTCTCTTTGTCGATGTGTTAGCCAAGTTAGAATGTGCGCATCGTGACGTGAACGTAATTCGTTCCGGCAGGTGCTTCCAGCTTTCTTTCTTTGACTTCAAGGAAATACAAAACCACAAAAGAGCAACACAAATTCACTTTGCAGCTTCTAAAGGGTACTGCAATATCTAGGGGCCCCTAGCAATCACATTTGAGCAGATGAGACAGACAAACAAAGTAATGCAGAAAAGTTAGTTTGAGCGGAAGCACTTCAAGTAAAATATGTACTGGGAAGTCAAGGTAGAAGTTTTAAAGGTACGCTGGTGTTTGGACCTAAACCTGGATGAGGTGAATTTGAAATCAATTATGAGCTCAGTAGGATTATTGACAGATACCACTACTCATTATAGCATGGGAACAAAATGCATTTTCCTCAGAACTTCAATTAATTTAGCAGAAATGGAACAGTGTGCTGCAGCCCTGCAAAGCCCCCCCCTGGATCAATGGGAAGGAACCACAGAACAACCCCATTGATCCCTCTGCTAAAGTACAGCAGAAGCCACTGTTATGGTACAGAGAATGTTTGATTGGATTCCACAAAGCCTTCAAAAAACTGTGTCGACAGAGAACACAGGTAATGCACACATTAATGCACTACTGGCATTTCTAGAACATCTAATTTATTGTGGACATATAGTATGTTTCAGGACATTTTGATATTTGTGCTGCAGGTGTTTTTTTCCGGTTTTACAGTGCACAACTAAACTAAGAAACAAAGCTGCAAAAACTAGACTACCTACCTGGTCCTCCGTACTTTTAAGAAACAAGGCAAATCGAGGAAAATATAAAGTGCAAAATGAGGGCAATCCAAAGCCAACCGAGGACTGCTCAGACAGGCTGCGAACAAGAGAAAGACACCTTTTCCTCCTTATGAGGGCAGACAAGGGCAGATCGGAACACCTGTTCAAAGGCGGTCTGAGATCAATCAATCAATCAATCAATGTTTATTTATATAGCCCAATATCACAAATGTTACATTTGTCTCAGTGGTCTTCACAGTTTGTACAGAGTATCAGTATGACAATACGACACCCTCTGTCCTTAGACCCTCACATCGTACAAGGAAACACTTCCGGAGAAAACCCACAGTTTAAAGGGGAACATGGGAGAAATCTCAGGGAGAGCAACAGAGGAGGGATCCCTCTCCCAGGACGGACAGACGTGCAATAGATGCCGTGTGGAAATTGAAAAGATAATACATTTACAACATAGGTAGTCCAAATGTTTGGAAATGCATGTGAGATCTGATCAGCATCACCTGAGCAAGAGCACAGGACAGGAAAGATAACCCAATAAGGGGTGAACACGGAAAACAATGTCCAATCAGAGGAAGACTCCATTCATCTTTGGCTTCAAATGATCTTCCTAGAACACACTTAGAAATACATGTGCCATTTCTTTGTATTAAAAAAAAGAGTGAACACCTATCACTGTTGTTTCTGTGTTTAAAGGTTTCTTGGCACTGCATTTTTCAGCTCTGGACTCTGAGAGAATCTGAATGAGCCCAATCAAAAACACATAACAGGTGAGGCCAATAGCCTAAAGCCACTTCACGTCTGATAGAGTCTGATATATTCTGATATAGCAACCACTGGAGCGTATCCAGCCTGTTCTGTGTATCTTGCGACAGTTTCTGAGCACAGATAAAGATGTGACTGTGGTCAAACATATAGATTTTGATCCGATTCTCCTATCTCTATGAGAAAGTGCCCAGCAAACCGAACAGCCAGTTCAGATGCAGTGTACAGGGGAGGAAGCAAGGAGGTAGAGTGGGAAGATCAATGCTAATCAGGCTCTCTGCTAAAGCCATTTAATAAAGATTTCCTGATGGGAAGGTTTTTTGTTGTTGGCGGTGCAGGTTGATACAGGGATGCATTTTACTGAGGGACACATGTAGCCTCAATCGCAAAATGGGGAATGAATAAATGAAGAAGAACATGTTAAAAACCCAATCACATAGTCAGGGGGTACTGTTAACCCACAGAAACAAAGAGGTCGTGCAGAGGAAGAAAAATATTCATTCTCAAACCAAACCAAAATATTATAAAGCTACTATGGTGATACATTCCCTTAAGTCTTTACACATTGATTTGAATCTCTTTTCTAATTAGTTCACTCGCTGCCTTTATTAATAAAAATCTATTTGTCTATATGAATTAAAGGCAGTTGTATTGATGAAAGTAACAGAATACAACCCATCGCAAAACAGTGTGTCAGTGTTTGTTCATGAGTGTGCATTCAAATGTACCTCAGGTGTGTTTTACTACATATACGTGACCGGGTTTACCCATAAAAAAATAAACACCACACTGTGGAGGGAAATTATAGTGATAGGTGTAACCTCAGTGGTTCATTGCCACTTCACGATTGAAATGTCAAAGGATGATCTCAATGCCACATGTTGAGGCTGTGGCTCAGTGGTTGGTGTGCTGGACTTCGAATCAGGGGATAGCAAGTTCGAGTCCCACTGCAGTCAGCATGTCGTTGTGTTCCAGGGCAAGGCACTTCACCCCAAATTGCTCCTGTGGAGACTGCCCACAGTACTGAATGTACAGTATGTAAGTCGCTTTGGATAAAAGCGTCTAACAAGTGACATGTAATGTAATGTTCACAGCAAAAAAGAGGTTCCGTCTTCAGCGTCATCAGTTACTCATCTGTACTAATCTTTGTCAAAATATGTAAAAAAAGATGAGTAGGAAACATGTCTTTTATAATTGGAATTCCTGATTGGAATGGGCTAATATCCTATAAATTGTTTAAGATCATGGCAACCAAAACCATTTGAATGAAATGTACAACATTTTTATTTTGAATGAAAATGCACAGATAGCCTCTATGGTTTTCTTTTATAAAAAATACAAATACTTTTCTTCCACAGATACATACATAACAGCAATATTTGACAGGCCCATCTTTAAAAGAACGGCTATTGTACATTATAATCAGCCACCTCAACATGGTAGCAAATATGCAGAAGAGATTGACTTAAAGGTTTAAATACTTTTAAATAGACTTTTTTTTTTTAAATAGACAAAAATGCAAACACTGTAAGCAAAACAGATTTGCAACAAAAACACAGCTATATCATAGGAAATCACTGCAGATCAATTTTTGGACATTCATGCAAAAGCTTTTGAGAGTTTTCAGCAGGCAGACCCAACACACACTGAATAATGCCTCATTCACTATGTGTTGGGTCTGCCAGCTGGATCAGCAGCAATGGAAACGTGTAAGCATTGGTTATAAGGTATCAAGTGATTGGTGTCCATGCTCAATTCAGCCAAAAGTCCAGAGCCACACATTAGAAGTGTTCACTTGGTGGCAAGGTAAGATACCATAGTCCATTTTTAGACAAAATAATACATGTAGGTCCTTGTATCACCAATGACGGTGCTTAAGTTGGAAAAGTGATACTTTAAGAGTCGTCATCAGTTTTTATGACATGAAAGAGAGTGACATTAAATATTACCTGGTGTCCGTTATTCCAGGCATACAGTGCTCTCTCTTTGGCGTTGTAGTCAAGCATGGAGATATGAAAGTACTGGTTGTGGAAAGGAATGTCTATGTATTCGTAGGTTGAAGTCTTGGTAGAGTAAGCGTAGTAAACCTTTGCTCCCGACAGGTGAGAGTTAGTGATATAGAGCGTCCCACAGATCATGAACGTCTCACCCGCGTTCCTCTTGGAGTATTCAGTGTTCCAAGTCTTCAGGACATGCAGGGTGTCGGGGTCGATCTGGGACACGACGACATTTCCAGCGTTTTTATTGGTTGCGTACACAACCCACATTCCCAGTTCATCAGCCATGACGTCGATGTCGGAGAACCCACCCCATGTATATGGGTACATGTTGTGGAAGCCGGCGAACTCCAGAGCTCTCTGGGCCAGAACGCTGCCCGTCTCAAAGCTGTACTTCACGATGATGTTGCTCTGGTACTTGTTGTAGTAGAGCGATCCATTGTAGACCATATGATTGGTTCCCTCCCATTTAAATGGGAGGCTGTATGTTCGAGAAACCACCCCCGCTACAAAGTCGTCCATTGTCTTGTACTCACGCACAATCTTGCTGTTGGTGTAACTGTCCATATACCAAACCTACAGCAGAGAGGATGAACAGGAAGGGTAATGAGAAGCAGCTGACCCCTGATAGATAAACATGTGAAACTGTCTGTTTCTGAGCTCATTTTTATATCATCATCTTTAAATAATTTATGTGGTTTTTTGAAGAAATGCAGTTCAGAGAAGATCACTACTATGGAGTCAGATTTGGGTCAATATTCTAGCGTGTAAAACAAGCTACTCACGAGCGTAAAATGTGCTTTTACACGTGCATGAAATGACCCTCGCGCGCAGATTAAACCCCCGCGAGCGGCTATGCGCTCGCTCGCGAGAGAGACAGCCCCCTTGCTCGCTCGCGGGAGTGTCAGCCTCACTCACTCGCGGAGTCTGTCTATATATATATCTGTCTATATTAGCTGTACACTTTACGAATATAATAGTTTTTTATGGACAACTTTACCATTCAATCTCGTCCAACTGATCTTGCAGCTGTCACTCCTTGGCTCTTGGTAGTTCAGGCATTTATCAAACCTGGCAACTCCGGGCTTCCTGGCAGCTGTCAATCAAAGTCCAGTTGCTCCGCCCCAAAGTGTCAGAAACTTTTCACGCGCGCGTAGACAAACTCCGCGAGTGAGTGAGGCTGACACTCCCGCGAGCGAGCAAGAGGGCTGTCTCTCTTGGGGGTTTAATCTGCGCGTGAGGGTCATTTCATGCGCGTGTAAAAGCACATTTTCCGCTCGTGAGTAGCTTGTTTTACGCGCTAGAATATTGACCCAAATCTGACTCCATAACTACTATAATGTTTATTTAATCCTCAAAATACCCTTCATGCAAACAGTCAGGCCCATCTTGTTGTGATATTTAGCTACTCTAAAAACACAGATATTGTACTGTACACACAACCATTTAGAAAGCAGAGCCCTGCTTTAATAACTCACCCTGTTGTTTCTGGTGGATGCCAGAGGGTCAGTCATCCATGCCCCAAACCGGGTTCCAGATGTCTTTATTGTAACAGGTCCAGTGATTTTCATTAATTTCCCACACGCTGTTAATAAAGAAATGCAGCGATAAGATGTGCTGTGGTGGTTTTCGTCTCTAACTAGATTTCTCAAGCCAATTTCATGCCTGTGCCACCAGAGAGTGTGCGCTCTGTGCATACTAAGATAGCATTGGCAGTGAGCTGCTTTATTTAACTGAAGGCTTAATGGTGCTTCTGCTGTTTGTATAGCTTGATTGTTTAAGACATTTCTCTTCCTTTTTTTCCTGCTTTATTTCATAGTGAGATAGCTTATGGAGAGACAGCAACGATTGCATGGCCATTCAAATATTGTTTTTAAAGGAAACACATAAGACCAACACAACAACAAAAACATTACGTTAAGTATACAACAAGGATACATACTCTTTCTATGACAGTGGATGTTATATAGCGAATAGCAAATCCAATTGTAATGCCAGTTGTGCAAGTACTATTTGTTCACTTGTACCACTGTTAGAACTATTCCTAATAACACTAAAGAAAAGTCTTGAACATGCAGTGTTTACTCACTTAGCTTGCCCATGCAGCTGCGCAGCCTGTTGTCCAGACGCAGGACTCGCTGATAGAGCTCGTCATAGTCGAAGGCCCCGAGCTCCTCCTGGATGCTCGTCAGCACTGCAGAGAGGTTCTTGATTTCATCTTTGAACAGGGAAATGACTGCAGCATCCATCTTGTACTGCTCCAGCACGGGGATCAGCGGCTTTAGCTCGTCCATCTTGTCGTTAAGCTCCTGCAGAAGTGACAGTAAAACAAAGAGGTGGAACATTGTTGGTAGGTAGGATGGTCATGGACAAACACATCTACAGTTTGTTGACAGAGAAGCAAGCCCTGCTTCAGGCAACGTTGACTTCTTGTTATCTGAACCACGGAAATATCTGAAATGATATACACATCCTTTGTTGTTTCAGAGCTCCATGCTAATATAATAGGATTATAGTCTCAAGTGACTTGCATTTTTTATCATTATTAAATATACTGATATTATGTTTACTGTAGGAGGCACCTAATGGAGCTATAAGCCAACAAGCCTTGATCCATTTATCATTCCATACATGTTCCTTTTCAGCTTGTTGGAAACCATACATTAATACACAGTAACAGATCAACGTGAGTTTGGAACTCTGATTTTCAGTCTTTCTGTATCGTCTTTCTTGAAGAACTCTAAAGAATACTAAGATGAAATAGGATTTAAAACCTGTATACAACCATCCCGGATGCACAAGAGCATCCGTGAATTGAATGCCACATTTAACATTTCAGTTCAGATTTGATTAAATGAAGCAGTGATTAAGCGATGGGGAAGACTACCTGAAAGTTTCTGGCTATGATGGATTTTCTGTCGTCCTCGATCTGTCTGAACTTGGTCCTCAGGCCCTTCATCTGGTTTTCCATCTTCATGACATATTGGAAATCCCTCTGGGTCCTGAGGTTCAGAACCTCAATGGACTGAGACATGTTATGCACCTGGAATGAAACAGTGATAAATAATCACCCCTAAAGTGTAACCACTCCCAAATTGGAAATGTAGCGGTGTAGTATAACATTTTATGATTAACTCAGCAGGTGACTTAAGGATGCCTTCCGGTTGCTGCTTCTTTCTTTTCACGGCGAATAATTGAAAAGCACTTTGATGGGTTTTCCCAGGTGAGCCTGCATGTGTACCTGAATGTGTGACAGGGTTATTTTGAAAAAGAACAAAGGTGGTAAAGCCTAGCAGCAGCGAACCTGTGTTTAATAAAACATATAAACTTGTTATTTCCTAATTCCCATATTAAACAGGAGAGTGTATCTGCCTGTGTCAGGGTGCTAAATACACCCTCTGCTCACCTTCTCCAGCAGTTGGCGGAGCTGTCTGCTCTTGGCATCTCTGGAGCACAGGTTCTGTTCAGGAGCCACCACGGTGCAGATACAGCGGCCATCAGCATCCTGAGCCGAGCTGTACACCTGCCAGCCCTCCTTTGGGCCGATAGTCTGCGAGCAAACAAATGTACATATCAAGATATCTAAGGAGCATATTGAATAAAATATGGTAATATAAAAAATAAAAATAAAAGGTTAAGAGCATAAAAGGTTTAAAATAAAATAAATAAAGTAAAGGACAGTCAGTAAAATGCGGTGCGGAACAGGTGGGTCTTCAGGCATTTCCTAAAAACTGAGAGTGATGCCGAGGTCCGTATGTTCTCTGGAAGCTGATTCCACAGACGTGGATCCAGGGAGGAGAAAGCACGGTCTCCCATGGTGACCAGTTTTGTCCGCTGAACAGCCAGGAGATTGGAGCTGACCTGAGTGTGCGTGAGGTATGGGAATGTTTTCTGGTTAGCAGTTCCTGTAGGTAGGTGGGGCCAGTGTAGGGCTGCTCGATTATGGCAAAAATCATAATCTCGATTATTTGGGTCAATAATTGATATCACGATTATTAAAAACGATTATCCATTTACTTTGAAAACATCCATTTATTGAAAAAAAATGTAACAGTGTGTTTTTAACAGTTGATTACCCTGAACTTTAAGTATAATTCAACTATTAACAATTAATTAATAAAAAAAGAAAATTATAGTAAAAAAAAAAGAAATCGTTTTTTTTTGGTTACGTTGTTTTCGTAATCGTTGCAAGCCAAAATCGTAATTGGGATTAAAATACGATTAATTGAGCAGCCCTAGGCCAGTGTGGTTGATGGCGTTGAAGACCATTATGAGGACTTTGTAGCTGATCCGGTGAGTTACAGGGAGCCAGTGGAGGATGGGGGTGATGTGCTCTGATTTGCGTGTTTTTGTGAGTATCCGGGTGGCACAGTTTTTTATCTTGCCATTCAGAATTGTTAATATTTTGTATTGCCATTACACATTGCACTCTAACCCAAAATAATTGTTGTCGAACTACAGCCTTTGAGTACTTACATTCATTTAATTTTCCAGCAAATGGAGAGATATGCTTCAATCAAGCAAAAACAGACAAACAAGCCTGAAGATTCTTTCGTATTCATATAAATATTTATGTACTTTGCCACAAAGGACTCTGCCTGTAAACCCTGTCATCCACTTTAATCCGGGTTACATATCTGAGCGAAAAGGAGGTACAATTGGAAGGAGAGGGGTTTATGAACAAACATAAGAACGGAAGAGATGTTTATGTAAGAAAACAATTCGTGAAAAAAACAATGAAAAGAGGACAATGCTGACAAAGAAATACAAAGACGACGACTGTCAATTAGGCAGGAAGAGATAGAGAAGGAGACTAGGTATTCCGGCACATATAGCAATTCAGAGAAAAACAAAGACAGCAAGTATAATATGATGAGGTGAGGGATACACAGGGAGGACACCGGCGTGCTCTGAGGAAACAATAAGGGAAGACAGAAAGAGAAGCAAAATAGAAATAGGCAGATTTACAGATATGTCTATATAGGCTGCATGGTATGTTCGAATACATATACCCAGTAGGATAGAAATGTGGTATTGCACTGCCTTCTCTATCAACTATTTCATAGTGTGGTATGTGAAAAAAACGAAAAGGCACACAAGGACTTGCCGTATGCAGTTTAATAGCATTGTGTTTTACTCCTAAAAAAGTGCTATTGATTAAGCGAAGGCTAACTTTCAATATTTGTTATCTCTCGCTACGTTATATAGCAGGCGAGCAGACTCCAAGGCCACAATGGTTTCACAGAGCTGCGCGACAAACTCCAGTCATTAATCATCCTCACAAAACAGCATCAAGCAGCTCAAAGTTTCCCCCAGACGTCCTGCAGCAGTGTGCACCACACACACACACACACAACACCACACCACACACCACACACACAACACACACACACACACACCACACACACCCATAACACACACACACACACACACACACACACACACACAACACACACACCACACACACACACACACACACACACACACACACCACACACAACACACACACACACACACACACACCCACCCACACACCCACCCACACACAGACAGACAGACAGACAGACAGACAGACAGACAGACAGACAGACAGACAGACAGACAGACAGACAGACAGACAGACAGACAGACAGACAGACAGACACACAACACACACACACATGGTGGTTATATACATGCATGTTACCGCGCACACAAACACATTACTAGTGGCAAAGGCACGGTCCATGCTCCCTCTGTAGTTTTCTTTTTTGATCTACTAGTTTGCAATGGCCAGGGTTTGACTTAAGCCTTTTGAAGGCTGCTATGCTCCAGCCATCAATACTTTTGGAGCCTAGTTGCCAACAGACAATATTGTGTGGGAGTATTCAACCGTAAAACAACAGCAAAAATGTATCACTTGGGTGCTACAAAAATCCACACTAACCCTCTCTAAACTTCTGACCAGTTTAATTATGTCAATCAAGAGTTTTCATTTAAATTAAAGTTATAAAACAGCATCACATATGGCATGTACAATTACCATATAATTGCCTCTGCATATTTGTGACTGTCTCACCAAATGAGATACAATCTGAACACAGGTCGCAGAGAAACAAGGCTTATCTTGTATTTACACATTTGTTCCCAACAGGCCTTATTATTAAATGAACCAAGGACAGTCCAGTTATCACTCAAATAAATGAACATGACTTTATATGTTTAGTGCTGAAGATGTATTATCCTGAGAGGTGCAATATTTAATACCTCCAAAGTAATGGGGGTCAGCATTTCACGTCTACTACTGTGTCCATATAATCTAAAAATCAACAGTCACATTTGTAAAATAATAAAAAGGCAACTTCTTACTAACAGCAGGACAAGAATGTGCAAAAGTGGACCAAACTCAGACTGGCAGTAAAAAAACAAAACATTGCTATTTTATAATCTTGACCTGCGGCGGAAGTAACACATAAGTGGCTCGCTCCAGGCATCTGTTTCAAAAAGCTGCAAGAAGCAAGGAGCTCTGCACTGGCAACTTCCTTAAGTGCCATGTTGATTTAAATATCCCACATGTACCAGATACACCAGCATCAGCTACAGTATGGGTCAAAAAAGATTTCAGATTCATGCCAATTTTCTGGCCTGTATCCAAAATAACCTGTTCTGTGCCCCAATAGGCTGCTACCAATTGTAGAAAATGTTGCTGCAATTGACAGCCAGGATAAAGAACTAACACTGGAGAAAGAAATCCTAGAATACCGAGAGAATGTAATATTAGCTGGATCTGACAGACACTGCAACAAAACCTTTGATTTAACCTACATTTATTTTATTTAGCCTTTATTTATACAGGTGTAGATCTCATTGAGACACAAGGTCTCATTTTCAAGAGAGACCTGTCAGTGGTAACACTACCACACAAAGTTACAGACAGACAGGACACTAAACACAGAGGCAACACTAAAATACAACATCGTAAATAATCCTACAATTGGCTGCATATGAAATACAAGACCTATAACACTGACCATCTACTGGTGGCCCGCCAAAGCTTCCTATCTCGTCCACAAAACATTAACGAATTCATACAATATAAATAGGATTGTTATCTACTGTTAAGCCAGTATACAACAGCTGATTTAATCCATATCACAGTGTGTTTCCAGAGACCACAAGAATCAATAACAGTTTATCGAACACTTATAGAAAGGGGTCAGGAGGATATAATGTAGGAATAGAACAATGTGATCCCCAATCAGTATAAATTCAACTAATTGCATATTGTCGAATGCAGCAACAACGTACGTTTGAAAGTCAATGCGTCATAATGTCTAGTGTCTCTGTACTTGGTTTAGCTGTGTCACACTTTTAACCTTATGATCCAGAACTTATTGTGCAAACTACAAATGATTGCCACCGTTGGTTTCATGGTTACACTGCAATGTACTGTGACCTTTATGTTGCTAAGACTCTGCACCTGAGCCCATTAAATAAACTGAAAACATGACATTCACATACTTCAAAGCACACATCAGCACCAGCTGCGCCAGACTCTGAACTACCTTTGTATCTGAATGTGCAAAAGATTAACAGCTCCATCTTGGGCATCTCCGGACAGAAACATGGCTCTAATTACTGCCTGGTGGATTCTATTCTTCTTAAAGGCCTCCTGTAATGTAGAGGATGCATTAAAGTTCATTTGAAGTGAAACAAAAAGCTTTTCTTTTCTGTGTCAGTTGCATGTTTGGCAGCTGGTATTCTATACAGCACACCCTTATCTGTTTGTTATTCTGCCATCAATATGTTTTTTACTTTGACAACATTATCTTTGTCCTCATCAACCTTTATATGTGATTGAGGGAAAGACGTAGGGGGCTGATGAGGGGATTGAAAGTGAATGGATGAGGTAATGCGGGTTAGATGTTTCAGATTGAAGATGGGAGGCATGACCGTGAGCAATTTAACATTACAGTTTTGAAAACAGTTTGGAAAGGGGAGGAATTTTGGGTTGTGCTCTCTGCTTTACTTTTTGTGCACAATGTTCAGTTTCAAATATATTTATGTTTTGGATATCTTTCACTCCAGTAAATGAAATGTCTGTGTTAACAGCACTTATCATTTAATAGCAGATCATGTGTTGCTCCTTGAAGCCCTGCATGCAACACTAGTTGGACTCTCGCAGAGGAGCGACTCTGTCTAGTGCTAAGTGAATCTGTTTTAGCCACTGCCAAGATTCACAGCAAGTCCATACTGTAACCGACTGTCTGCACCCTCAACTAATCTCCACACTGCTGAGTATAGCCTTGCAGTCTTGATCTAATTCCTGTTGCCAGTCTCATGATGGCTGATTTCATTTGTTATATGAGTCTGGCATTGTGAGGAACTCCCCAGAGGGATAGCACAGGTGAGAAAGTGAGGGTGAAACATGAAATGATTGTTGGTGGCAGTGGCAGAAATCAATTCGTTATAAACACAGTCTAGAGAGACAGCGGGAGCTAGCCAACTCCCTCTACCGCCTCAGCTGGAGCTGCAGAGAGGAACACAATTGACACTAATGTATTTCTAAGG